GGGGCTCCGACACCACAAAGCAACAGTGTGTCTTTAAAAGCATTAATTATCATTGTTTTCTGTGCAGTTCTGTTTGCAGAAAAGTGCAAAGACTAATACAGATTTGATGTGTTTAACTTTTAATAAGTTACACTTATCAACCAGGCACTCAGAGTTCTTCAGTTGTATTGATGAAGAAAAAAGTCTTACAATGAATAAATAACTCATTTTATTTTATTTATTTTTTTAAATCAGTGAACTTCATTAAATACATTTTGATGATATGGCAGAAATAAAGATCTGGGAGAGAAAGGGAAGAAAATGAAATTCATAAAAAGTTATAAAACGATCTGACCTTTAAAACTGATGTTAAAAATGGCACCAGAATTTCCTCTCTGTTCTGCTTTTTTTTAATCTTCAAGTATTTTGTCCTCACGACACCCAAACGTTTTACTTTTCCTTTAATTATGGATAAGAATAATTTGTCTTTCTCGTCCCTGCTCAGTTGCATGTTTAATTGATACCTGCAGAACTGAACTGCAGCAGTTTAATGAGCTGCTGCTCATGAATCTCCAAATTATGATCAGATGTCACTCCACATTCTGCCTCCTGTTTTCACACTCGTTTCTCTGTTGTGTGTGCAGCTGTCATCTTCATTTTTGCACTTTTTTGTGTGCTTCTTTGTACATTAATTCCCAAATGTGTCACCAGTGTTTTCAGGCTGTTTGGTTTGATCTTCTTGTGCTCCATATTTTCTTGCCACAAAACTGGCTATTTATTTTTATACTGCTTCTGTCACGTGTCTTTTTCAACTCATTAATCATTAATTTGTGCCTATGTTCTGCTTTGAAAAAATAAATATTGTTTTATTTCCCTCCATTGCTCTATAAACACAATAATTTCCCCTTTCTCTCTTCTATTTCACCCCAATCTTTTGTTTCTCTTAACTTTGTTTTCCCCCATACAACAAATCTTCCTCATTAGATTCACCTTACTATGAAAATTTGGAAATTAGCCTGAACTCAGTCTCTTTCTCTTGGTCTCCAGTGTATGAGGACTCATTGTGTTAATTCAAATATTAGTTTAACCCAATAACGGTGCTGGCTGGCAGACTAAGCAGATGTGGGCACTAATTATTTCCTTTCTTCTAGTAAATGAGTTGGCTTCCTTCTCACTGCCTTCAGACACGTCTTTTTCTTTACATCCACTTTCAAAAATGTGTAAGTTTTCACCATGTTGAAAACAAATTCATTTCCCTGGCCAAGAGGATGCCTCATCTTGCAAACATTAAGAAGATAACTAATCTTTTTTCTTACTTTTATGGATTCTTTCACAGGTTAATTAGCAGAATCCACACATTTTAGAGGTTTAGTTATATTACAAAAGATCCTGATGCATGCTCAATAATTCAGGTAGAAATTTTTAACAAAGTTAAGTCAGGTCCTCTGGACGGATGGAAAAAGTAAAAAATAAAAATAAATTGTGTCTATGCTATCTACTGTAGTGGACTAGGCCTATGTCAAAACTGACCAGATGGACAGAAACTGTCATTTCATTGATCTGCATCCAGAAATACAGTTTGACCCATCCGGAGACTTTCTTTCTTGAATTAATCAAGTAGAAAAGACAATTCTCTATGATCATTACTATTTTACAAATGTTTTGATAATCAAATTGTGTTAGTTCAAACAATGTTTACAGGTTGAAGAGAACTACTCATTTTTATTTACATAAACAGTAAGTAATGATTTTTATTCCTCATTCAAAGAAGAAATCAGGGTAATATGCATTTCTTGATTTTTCTGTCTTCAATGAGCAAGTTTGTAAGTGTGTTAAAGTTCAGGTTTCGGTCAACTAAAAAGTTTACTGAAAAGAAATGTCATGTTTAACTTTTACAGAAGATACAGGAGAGTTTGACTCCACGAAGTCTGAAGTTCTCCAATAATCTTTCTGTCTGTCACTAAAACAATCCTTGACTTTCCATAACACCTTACATCACAAACCACACCTCTGTTCTGGTCCATCGACCAATCAGAAAGCTCTCAAATGACCCGGAAGTCGAACCCATTTAAATGTGGCGACTTCCCAGTTCAGCCGAGCGGAGTTTTTCAGAGCTTGAAAGTTTTCCTGGAGAAGTGTTCCAGACTTTAACTCTCTGAAGAGAGTTAAAGAGTTCAGAGTTCTTGGATGCTAACGCAGGCGTCCAGGATGCTTCTATTGGAATCCAGAATCCAGAGACGATTTTGGGAATTATAACTTCTGTTTGGATAACCTCACACGACTCCTAAAAGTATTTTAGCTGTTCTCAACGGAGACGCTGAAAGAGTCAAAAGAAGGACTTCACGCCGACCTGATCTATCATCAACCAGGTAAAAGTTCTATTTCGACCAAGCGTACCGTGTCCAAGCTGAGATCTGAAGGAGCGTGCCCGTTCTGGCCAAACAGATAAATTCCCTCACACATCTCTCTGTAAGATAAATCTCCATTTTCCATCTTTAAACTCTCCTTTCTCCTAAAATCATCACAGATATTTTTAGAAATGTCTGGAGCAAAGTTTCTCAATCACCGCCGTGTGATTGATGTCTGTTTCTGCTGAAAAGTGAGGACAATCGCCGTATTGTTACCACTTCCTGTGAAACTAGCCATGTTATTGTTTTCATATTTTGCCAAATTAATGTAAATGTTTGATGTTAAACTTTGATTCTGCAAATAAATGACCGCATTCATTTTGATGGGTCAAAGATAAATAACGTCTCTCGTTACATTTCTGTTAAATTCAATGCACGACATTTACACAGTCAGAAAAATGAAGAACCCGTGAAATGTATGTATATATCCTGCATATGTCATACTACACTACACTATGTCAACTATACTACAGAAGTAATGTTGGAAATATTGACTGAAATATTTTCATTTTTTTAACTTTTTCTATCCATCCAGAGGACCTGACATAATTTTGTTAGATATATTACAAAAGGATAAATTATTAATTGTGTTTATAAAGATTTTGAAATCAAGACTTGAACAAACACAAATATCAACTATCTTGTGACATGATCTGGCTTTACATTTAAAAGCCACACTGAAATAAAAGTTTGTTCCTGTTTTTCCTCACTGCAGCCCATAAACCAACTACCATATTTTCTTGCATATAAGTTGCACCTTTTTGCATAAATTTGCAAGTCCTGTGACTTCTACAACGAAGCGACTAATATGTTTTTTTTTCCATATTCATAACCCATTTTTTTGACTGACATCTGACGCTTTCATTCATTCTGACATGCACTAGATTAAACATTACCATTTGCAGCCACTAGAGGCGCGAGAGGGCACTCTAGGCTTTTGGCAACTACTGCAACCCCCCTACACACACACACAAACACACAAACATTCATTCAACGGCTGTTTACACGGCGCATATTTTGAGTGCGTCCGCAGCTTTCTCTCTGCGGTTCTGCTGATCATTTACACGACACCAGTGGCCCCCCTCTTTGAATCCGGAGGTTTCTGAGTGGAGGTTTTTCGCTGACCCCCCGCTGATAATGTAAACATCTCCCGCTGAGGCTTTGTGTTAAACCACATGCGCGCACACACGCGCGGACAGACGCTATATTTCTATCAACATGGCGGCGGATACACTGCTTTCAGAACTACGACTGATGGAATATATTTTAATAGTTAATAGTGATAGTTAATCTTGGTCAGATTCTGGGTGCTGTGACCGACATCTGTGTTGGAAGAGACACAGTCTGATCCAGTTCTAATGTCGCTGTTTATAGAATGAGGCACGCAAACACATCGCGCTACACTATAACATACTAAATGTGCTAAGTAACAACAGTTTAATAATAATAAACAGTATTTATGTTAGTGTGAGAGATATAACGAAGCTCTGAGATAAATGAAGCTATCTGGACATTATGTAATTCAAATTTAAAATGATGCTAAACATATAGCGTGAACACTAAAGATGAAAATGAAGACATCAGGTTTAATTTTTATTTATTTATTCAACGCCACAAACTGTATGTCACACAAACACTGATAATTAAACTGAACACACTATTAAAACAAGTTAACTGTAAACTACGTTAATGAACAACTGGACTCTTGTTTTCATCCGGTATGGAAGTCCCACGTTGTTCATCTGGCTCGTTCAGGCTGTCACTCCTTTGATTAATGCAGCTTAACACATTGAATGGCTTGAATAAAAGAAATGAGGGGAATTTTAAACAAATAGTTCATCCAACATCTCTCTTTGATGTCCTCCTGCACTGCACCTTGCCGAGCCTCGTTCAGAACCGGTCCACCTGATGGGAGGACAGCTTCTTCTTCTTTCAGGAAAAAATAAAAACTCAGTTGGTTGTTTTGTAACCGAAGTAAACACAAACTAACATTGTTAAGAACGTTGATTTACCTGCTGTAAAACGGCTACTGATTATCACGGAGTAAAGTCCGACATCGTCGATTCGGTTCTAGTCCACTCAGCGACCGGTGTCGAGCTGTTAGACGAAGCGGTCCCGCTTGGCGTCAAATCTGTCAACTCTTATCCACAATCCAGCCAAAATCCAGCTTTTACTTGTTAAATTGTTGTTAGCTGAGCTTTTTAGCTCACAGGAAAGGAGCGTGCCAAGGCAGCACGCATGTGCATTAGGTGAAGGTACAAAATTCACAACGCCATCTAATGACTTTGCATGGTAACTACAGCGGATTCGGGAGGGTGGGGGGGGGGGGATCCTTCGGATGCATGTAAACACAAAATAGATGCGACTTATGTTTTTTCCCACTTTGAGACATTTTTGGACTGATACACCGGAACGACGTGTACGGCAGAAAAGACGGTATTCTTGTCTGTTGCTTGCATTTCTTATTGCGTCTGTGTTTTATAATATTTTTACAGTAATATGTAACCAAAAAAGTGTAAAACTTGTTGTTTTTCCACAGCTGGACCTTTAACAAACATCACACTTACATTTCTCACTCATAGAAAATTCTAAAAATCTGTATTTTTCACTCACCAGGTTCACATACGCAGGTGTGCCGCTCCCAGAGGTCCGTACAGTGACTGTGAGCCGGGCAAGGAGACGAGACGCAGTGGTTGGCGACATTACAACCAGTCTCCACTTTGACTGCTCTGGATGGACGGGGGAGGGCAGGGGCGTCTGGCCTTACACCTAATCGAACACCCTGTCGACAGAAATGGTTTATGTTGAAGAGAGTTATAAAACAGCAGAGAAAATGCATCCATTCAAGACTCGTTCTTTACTTCCATCACTTAAAAACAAGACATTAAAACATTCATCTACCCATCCATAAAAAAAATAAAACAGTCGGTCCATTAATCTTCACCTGTATGCATCCTTTAATTCCATTCTGAACCTCACCGGAGCCCAGCACTCCTCCGACATGCAGATGTTTCACCTTCAAACCATGAATCTCATTTCCTACTATCACTGTTCCCTGATGGGGAGAGACAGAGTCAGACAGGTGGTGGTGAGATGGAAACTGATCGGCCAGACATTATTTATTAATAGCTATATGCAAACTCAAATGGGAACATTGAATACCATTATTTGACCTCATAGACTGTAATTGGTTTGTTAAAGTAATATCAGACTCACAACTGTCCTTAGAAAACACAAAAATGTCTTAAGTTCAGCCAATTTTACAGATACTGATTTACAACTGGGTGTGGTAGTAGCTGAGAGTCATCATCAACACGTAGTGTGAATAGATATCTCACAATATTGCATGAGATTAGGCATAAGATTATGTTCAAGTTTTGACCAAAAGGGCTACAACTCATGTGCCAACATATTGGACATCCTATATTCTAAGACTCTGAATGGCAACAGATGGCCTGCATTCTGTCAAGAAGTTGTACGCCTTTAATTTGTAGTAGTATACATCAAATGTACTACATAAGTAAGGTTGAAAATATTGGCTGTTCCTTATTTTCTCATTTGAACTGACACGAGTTGAGTGCAAAAATATTATTTTGAGTCTTGTGTCAGTCAAAATGAAGAGGAGTGGAGGAGACTGAACCAAATCAAAAAGATACAATTAATCATAAAAATGGAAAACAATGCACTTTCACTAAAAAGAAAGTCAATATTTTTATTATAAATACAAAATCAATTACTTTTGTTTATCACTTAAGCAGCTGTGGAAAATACTTATGCTAAAGGACAGCTGCACACAGATTTTTTTAAATCCTGTTTAATATTCTGCTGTGATGTTCAATATATGTATTTTCCTACAAACACTTCCTGTGCCTATTATTCTGAGTTACGCTGAGCACTTTGCATAATGGCTTAGGTAAGGGCAACTAATGATAAAAGGCATTATGTAATGGGAAATAATTCAAGGAAAAAATGTTTATTTTACTTCAAGCAGGTCAAAAAATGATGATGCATTTGCGTTTTTCTCTGTGCAAGTCTAATTGCTGCATATGTGCAGCAACTACTTCATATGACCTCATATATACACCGGTACATACACCAAGCACACATCGTCCTGTTTAATCTGACAGTAATTTCCACTAGAGATTAAGAGAACTACTAGGATTAGTGTCCCACAATTTAATGCCTCTGATGCTATATAAAGAAAACTTGTGTATAAAACAGTTGTCTGTGTCGATTTGATAGTTGGTAATGTATCTTAAAAATGAGCAAAATATGTAAAAATTCTTAGCATCATTTAAAAAATAATAATTTTACTGAGCAAGAAGTTTTTCCACCTCATTTGTCTTTGAATATCATCTTTGCAGAAAGTTCACGTCTGTATTTAATGATTTCCGTTTAAATTTTAAATAATGCACTTTGTCAACAGCTTATAATTGGGTGTCTCAGCAGCTGTGGCGACATCTGAATGGTGACTATTACCTGATAGAGTCCAAAGTCTAGCCGCAGTGTGGCAACGTAGCGCATTTCACGGCCACTCCGAACGTCTCGCAGCTCCAGCTGGAGGTCGTGCCACCGACCATCTGCCACTTGAACCTGATCCAAACGTAAGCGCACTGGTCGGGTTGAGCCGTGGGTTATTGAGAACACCAGTTGACCATTTATCACCTGTGGGAGATGTAAGAACAGATGTTCGCCGAAACATCAGAAAAGCAAAACACATGAGTCAGAGAGAGGAAAAAAAAACTAAAATGATTTATCACTATGTTTATATACTGAGTGCTTATAGAGTGTCTTTTTAATATAACCATAAATAATGAAAAACTGCATTATAACTAAATGAAGTAAACTACAGCAACACTACTCAACACATCAGGCTACATTACTTTTTGTATTTAAAAAAATGAATTGAACTGAATTACAACCCCGGCAGTCATCACAGTTGATCTACTGTATTTTTGGGACTATAAGGCGCACTTAAAATCCTTTAATTTTCGAAAAGAAAAAAAAAAAATCGACAGTGAGCCTTTTAATCCGTTTCGCCTTATGTTTTAATTCTGGTTGTGCTTACTGACCTCAAACTGATTTTATGTGGTTATTTTTGGATGAGTTAAATAAAGTTTGACTTACCTGACTGTTTTCTTTCACTTAATGCGTCTTATGTATGAAAACAGACCCGTTCATTGATATTGCACCTTATAATCCGGTGCGCCTTATAGTCCGAAAAATACGGTAAGCAAAAAAGAGGTTTAAAATAAAAGAATATGCTAGTTTGCATTTTTTCCATTCAAGAGTGCATGGATCTGAACTGCAGCCATTTGTTTGCATACTTTGATGTGCACAGTTCTTGAATTTATTTCATTTTGCTGCTGCTTCTGAATGATCAGGAGTATGAGGTAAAAGTACATAATATGGTCAGATGTTAAAAATCACAAAAGTTAAGATAATAAAACATGCACATCAAGGGTTAAGAGTTTTGCACCATTATCATGTGAGATGAGGCAGCTTGACACCAGCCCAGTTAAAAGTTTCGCTGAACATCTTCCAGCACTGAAATTGTATTTTGACACTGCGTTTTATAAATGTGTACAAATGTTACACGTTTTGGTGAGTTTGGCACTAATGTCAGAAACAGAAATGACGGATGGCAGCATCTGTGCGTTTGTGCCCGCTCCAACCTGAAACAACAGACTGGTGTACTGGCCAGCCTGGGCCTGCAGCAGCGTCCCCTCACGCGCTCTGGTTCTGAACACCAGGCCCAGGTACCAGGGTGTGGAGATGGTCACGTGATTCTTCAGGTCCCACCAGAGGGCGCTGTTACCGAGGAAGCGGTGTGGGTGTGGCATGGCTGAAGAGAGCGAGAGGGAAATAACTGTTAAAAATGCATTTTTCCAGAACAGCCTTTAGTTGTTTACCAAAGTATTAGATAATTTGAGATGTTTAGTTTTAAAATTGTTAGGATTTGCAGGATAAAATTATATTATTTTATACTTTATATTTTTGCTATTTTTTGGGTGTAAGTGGGACCCTGAGTACATAATTTTGTTCCACCTCATGTACCACATGTGATGGAAATGACAATAAAATTGACTTGAACTTGACTTATGGATTTGAGGTTTAGGTGCAGTTCCTTAGTGATTTCCAAATGTTCCTTTTTCTCCACTGTAAAGTATGAAATAAATGTGATCTATTACAGTGGTTAATACATTTATAAACTTTTGACCCACAAAGTAAAAGTGAGGAAGAGACTTGCGATTGCAGCTGTTTTAGGATGAACTAAACAAACAATGCTTATAAGCCAGTGTTATTTTATTCATTTATGATGAGTATTTTGTATCTCTTTGTAACAGCCAAGACTACATTTGCTACTTTTGTTATTGACAATTATTTTTAAAGGTAATTTGATTTTTGTAGATCATCTCAAGACCTCACACTTCATGTTTCATGACCTACAATATGATCTTAACACCAAATTCAGGAACCACTTCAAAAAAAGTGAATAAAAAAATACTAAATTTGAACAAAATTTGAAACAAAACAGGAAGACAAAAAAGTGCAGGAACCCGCAAGTGTTTATCTTTGAGGTAAACAAAAGTCACTTTATGCCACAAGGGCCTTTTGCCACATGATTTCCCTTTAGAGTTGGACGTCTGAGCTCACAATCGAGAAGTGTCAGTAAATAAAAACCAATTAAACCCTGCCTGAATCCACCCGGGCAGCAGACTGTCCACTCACATAAGAAATCAAGTCAGAGTTTATCTGTGCTCAATTAAAAACATGGAATTAAACCAAATATGCTGTGTTTATCTCCCACATGCAGAGTTTAGTCTCCCTATTAAATGCCATTGAACTTTCCCCATACATTCCCTTTGTTTCTGTAATTACATCCATATAGGGTCAAACTTGTCTAGACTTTAATTTGTTCATGATTATGGGTCCCACATGTACAATCAGCTCCCTGCATAAAAGCATTAACAGACATGTAAAAAAAACAGGGCAGCTAGAAATATGTTTAAGAAACAAGAAAAGCACAAATATAGAGATGTCACATGGTGTTTGAGTGGAGGAACAAGAAAGGAAACAAAAATAGCAGTCTTGATAGTGCAAATTAATTACTAAGACTTTATCTGATCTGTTGATGTTTTAGTAATTTCTTAGTTATTATTAATGCATGGTCTCACCGAAAACTAAACTGAACTAGGACTACTAATGGTTTTTAATGCACCCTGTTGTCCAGATGAGCATATAAAGAGATTAAAGTTCTCACAGTGGCTGCAGTCCTTCCCTCCGTATCCTATTGGACAGTCACAGGAGAACGTCTCCCAGCTCACGCTGCAGGTCCCTCCATTCTGACATGGGTTGGATTTACAGAAGGGGAGTTTAGCACTGCAACCTGTAGGTATAACACAGATCTATAAAGTTTCTGAACAAATTGGAGGTGCATCTCCACAAATTTATACAATTAATGTAACTTATGGTAGTTGCACAAATATAATGATCCTGGGTCACCAGCAGGATCTCCATTTGTGATCATTTCATTTACTCCAATGAAATGGACCTAAATGTTCATGCAAAATGTTGGCTATTAACATTAACAAAAGCATTGTTGCAAGATTTTTTTTTTCATTCATACATCAGTGTGTTGATCATAATATTGTATAAAAAAATAAGATTTTGGGGGTAAATGGAGGTTTAATAAAAAAAAAACAGACTTGGGAGAAAGTTCAATACAGTAGGGGGAAACACTATGGTTCAAAATGACAAACAGATACTCTTCAAAATTAAAGTCTGTTCTTATTGAAAAAAATTAAAATGTTTTGTTTGTTTCTTCAAACTGTGTTTGAGTCAACCTTGCAAAGTAAAGGGGAATCATTCCTTTACAAATTAAAAAATAAACAGTAAATTGAGATTTTATAGTTTTACTATGAATATGAGACCCTTTTCTCAAGTAATGTGTACCCTAAATAGCCCAAATACCATGCCTTAGTATTTGCATAAGAATAAACAAAGACATGCAATTTTATTTTTAGCAAGCGAGGAAAGTCTTGTGACTTTAAGGAAGGTTAAGTTTACATCACCTTTTTAAAAATATTTAAGCAACAGCATGGAAAAGTATCCACTGCTGAGTGAAAGTCACATGAAATTATTGATTTGAACTGTATTGGGATTCTAACTCTTCGATTTTTTTGTTAAATGCACATGTTTTTAATTATAGCTTAAAGAAAATCAGACTTAAAAATCAAATGAGGACCAAAATGCTTTTTCTGATACAAAATATTTTGAACATGTAATTATTCAAAACAATAAAAATGGATTTGTAATGCTGACCAGGAATTGTTCCGTTGTTAGCAATAAATCCAGCAAGATCCATGGCCCGGTTGTCCACATGCAGGTCCTTCATACAGCCGATAAACTCCCGGGTGCCGAAGGGGAAGTTGTCTGGCACATTGGGAACTCCACCAAGAAATAATGGACCGGTCAGATCCAAAGACCTAAAAAAAGAGTATAGGAATGAGAAAGGAAAGAGAGTAAGGACTGAAATACAGGATTATTTCCCAAGGATGAGGAGAAGGATGAAAAGAGGAGCGTAGGAAAATATGAAACCTACATGTACGAGAGAGGCGAAGGGATTTTTTTTAAATAGAGATTAAATGTGTCATCAAAGACTTTAAAGGAGCAAGGTTCAGGGAACACTAGTTAAATCTTTAATAAAACAGACAGCCAAGATCTTTCCAGAAGAAACGTGAAACTAACAAAGAAAGATGTTAAAAAGTTGAAAAATAAAATGTGTCAGACTGACACGAACAAACCAGAGATTAAAAACGAGTTACAACAAATGTCTGGAGGGATGAAGAAAAGGTAGAAGACAGAAAGAAAAGAGGCATGAGGCACTGTAGATGATAGCGCACATCCAGAAATAGTGTGAGAGAGATTAAAATTACTTAAAATAATATGAGATGGAGAGGCAGAGGGACAAAGAAGAGATCAGGAGTGAATAAAGACAAATGTTGAGAGGAGAGTAAAGGTGGACGATGAGAACGATGGAAAACGGGAGAAAAACAGGGAAAATGTAAGAGAGCATTCTGGGGGCAGCATATCACAGTTATGGGAAAAACCTGACAAAAAGGAGCCATCATGTTGTCTGTCTAACAGCATTATGTTTATTTAACTCCGCAGTGTATTTCTCTTCAGATCTGTGACAATACGTGCTGCGAGCCAAGAAACACACAACTGCAGAGAATGTTTCAAGAACGCCAAGAAGATAAAAAAAATACCAGACGGAGTCAAACAAACAAGAGCTTAGAAGTAACAGCTAAAGCAAATATCAAGAGGGAGATTCATTAGAAAAGGATGTCAAGACTGCAAGAGGAGGCTTGTAATGGATACATGGAAAAAAGGAGTGTTGAAGTGTTCATCTTTGGCCTTCCTCTTTGATCTGGTTCCTCTTTTCTCTGCTTCACTTAGAGCTGACAGGACACGCCCAGCGTGATTAGAGCTTATAGAGGCAGGCCAGACACCCTCACAATGACAGACTGCTCGTGAAAGTGTGTTTATGCATAAACTATGTGTGTTCATTTCACTTGGTGGTGTCGCTCGAGCCATTTGGCCACAGACAAAACACTCATCAATCAGAAGAACGGTCTACATCGTTTTGACAAGGTCAAGCAGAACGGACAACGCAGTGCTTTTAATATTAACGATATGAATAAATCAGAGAATGCATGTTGCATGCAGGAAGTAAGGAACAGGAAGGAACTTCATCGTGAAGAATAAACTGATGAGACAGTGGCAATTTTAGCCTCTTTTTGGGGGGGTGCTCAAGCACTCTTAAATTTTAACTCAGCACCCCAGAAAATTAAGAAAAAAATTAATTAATTAATTAAAAATAATAAATAAATAAATAAATAAATAAATAAATGTGTTTA